TGCGCCCAGCCCCGCCGGGGAGCCAGCCACCTGCGGGGCCCCTGAGCCCGGCGCCGCGGCGGCCGAGGGTTGCGCGGCCGAGGGCGACGAGGTGGACATGGACTGAGCCTCGTGGCGGCGGCAGCGGGAGAGGCGCCCGCCGGGCCAGGCCGCCTCAGGCTCCGACTCCCACAACGAATCAGGTGATCGGCTCTAGGCTCCGCTTCCTCCTCCTTTCTTCCCGGTTTTTCTCCTTTGGTTCTTATTTTTTAAGTAAAGAGAAGCGCTGTGTCAATTCGGTCTTAGGCAGCCCCGCAGGACTTGGGGTGAGACCCCCTTCCTCCCGAGGGAGCAGAGAACCCGCCCCCCAACAACGAGATTCCTCAGCCTTGTGAAATGCACAAACGTCTAAGAATATTTATATATGCACCATTTTTGATAAATAAAGCTGGTCAAACGCAAGCTCCTCGGGTCCATCTTCTTCAAGTTTCCGAGGGCACGGCCCCTCCTCCGCGCCGTCGCCGCTGTCCTCCCCGCGGAGGGGGCGGGGCGCCTGCCTCCCCCGAGGTCCGCGCCTCCGGCCTCCTTTTGTGTGCTTGTGTGTTTGTGTTTTCTGATTGAACAAATTTATGCATCCGCAGCTCCCCTCCCCGCCCTCCTCGCGCTCCCCCCTCCCTGCCGCCCCCCACGCGCCCCCGCGCGCCCACACGCACACGCACCCCTGCGCGCCCCCGCGCACCGGCAGTCGCTGGGGCGCGCGGCGCGGGTGACGGAGCCCGGGGGCGGCGAGGGCTGGGCCGTTGGGCTCCTGCAGAGTTTTGATATGAAAGTAATTATTTTCCGGTGGCTGCTGCGGGGACTGGGTTTCTTGCCCAAAGGGTTATTATACATTACCGATTTCCAGTGATATGAAATCACATAAACTTCCTACAATAATAGAATTAGCATGAAAGGCTGGGGTGTCAAATTGAAATTGGAGAATAATAGCGCCAGCAGCTGGGGGAGTGCGCGCGCATATTGGAGCGGAGATGGGGAACCGTGGGGCGGCATTTTCATGAGCCGCACTCTTTGTCAGCGCTCTTGTAGCCGGCTATATTAAGATAGATGCTCAATGATATCCCTCATTGTTCTGTCGCTTATATTGATGTTGCTGCGTTATCAGCCTATTGATCATGTGTCGCCTGTAATAGGACAGGCGCCGCCAACGCGCCTCTTTACAAAAGCAGTGCACATTTGTTCTAATAGGGTCCGGGTTCCCGAGGGACCCTTCGGGGGCTTCAGGACATCTGCAGCGAAGAAATATTAGCAAACTTGGCTGGAGCCTGCAGCCAGCCCCGGCTCCCTCCCCTGCCCGCAGCCGCCCCACCCCAACTCAACCACCTCCGGCCCTGCACCCTCCCCCGCCTCCCCCCCAAAAAACAATCCCAACCCACCCTGCCCAATTTTCCTGGGTCCTGGGTCTTCTTCGGTGCCGCAAAAGCCACCAATTCCCTAAGAAGTTGGGATCCCAATTATTAAAACCATTAATTCCGGCGAGGCTGAGCGCACTGGAATTATGTTTACAGCCTCGTTAAATATCCCTGATCCCTCCTGGTCATCAGGCCTTTATTTGCAAATAAATTGAAAATAATCAGAAGGCCCGCTTTTCTCCTCGCGCCGTGCAAATGAATTTCGGAGCCCGAGTCCCTTTAATAATATTTACATAATTTTCGCTCCGTGATTCTGATATTTGCTCTCTAGGAGACCGAGCTTATAGGAAAAATAATTAGATCAAAAGAAAGTGAGAGTGAAGGCAGGGCGGGAGAGGGAGTGGGAGCCGCCGGAAGCAGCCGGCGGGCGCGGGCGCGCCGCT